CAAAAGTGGTAGTTTTTGGTACAAAAACGTAAAGTGGTAGTTTTTCGACACGTTTCCATGAATTGTGATAGTTTTTGGTTAAATACTCTGATATCCCATTTGTGTTGCCACTTGTCCTTCGTCCCATTCTCGCCTACGATTATCGTAGTGCTTACAAAACCAAACCGTGTTTTAATGTGATCAATCTTAAGACGTCTCTCTCAACATAAGATGATAATTTTCTTCCCTTGATAGGTCTTCTTCCAGGCCTCAATAACCTTCTTTAGAAACGCAATAAGGAGCCAGAGGCTCGCAATATGCATGCACAGTTACCACTACGAACACACGATGCTACCTTTATGAACGCCTTTCAGAAATTGAGCTGTTATATTTTAAAATTCACGAAGTCACTACATACATCTAGTGATTGACTTGACGCACACATCATACCACTAAAAAATAGTACCTAATAGTTTTACTACAAGAAACCTAACCATGTATGGTAGGCTTGGTGGGGCTCCACCGCTCAATTATTGATAGCACTAATTCAACTCTTAACACTTGTGCAGCCTTTGTCTTTGCCGAAACGGACGAGCTAGCTGATGTCACATCTTGTCTTGGATAGGTCTTCCACGCCTGATTGATTGATCACGATAATTCAAAACCCCAACTTATCTTGAGGGCATCTTTTGATATGTCTCTTTCATTTCATTTAAGTGAGGAGGTGTTCAATTTCAAACTTGATTCATGATTTTGATTGATTAACATTTCACAAGTTAATTGGCTGCAGCAAATCTATTTAAACATATCAGTCTTGTGCATGCTCTTATCACAAAAACTAAACGCAAACATGGAATATTGTGCTTGGTTTTAAGGTAACGCGCGTCGACTGCAAATTAAAATTTTCTACAGGTCTGCGTTGGATAGCTTTTGCGGCTTGGATAGCGTGGTCCGGATGGTTACGGGAGGTTTATGGCTTCTTGACCAAAGTGAAAAGGCTCCAAAAGTAGAAGCAAAAGCTCAAACAAACAGAACCTAGTTTTGTTGAAATGAATGAGGTGAGATGTCACATTTTGTCTTATGATAGGTCTTCCACGCCTGAATGACTGGTAGCAATAATTCAAGATTCTGGCGCATCTTTTGATATATTTAGTAGTATTTGTTTATATGGATTCAGATAATATATATCTCTAAGTAATCCCGGAGTATAATTAATCTGGTTTATTGTTACGATAAAACTGTCTTACTCATTGTCCTACCATTGAAAATAAGCTACGATTAATCTGGTTTGCTCTTGTCCTGTAGGGATGAAGTACGTACGGTTGGTACACTAGAATAACATGCACAAGGAGAGCGTGCTCAGCTATCTTAACACGAGGACGGAGGAAGCTTCATAGCATTATACGAGAGTATTACCCCTTGCAGCCGTGAGATTCCGTGGGAGGCTACAGAAAGAAGCCATGAGTGCTGCTCCCACCGACGCCATGGCCGAGGAAGAAATCGACGAGACCACCTCTCGGGCTCAGGCTGAGATGTCTGAGATCATGGTGTGTCGCTCCCGCGGTGCTCGGTGTACCTTACTCGCCAGTACCGCGGCTTCTGGATCCGCGAGTTCGTTCTTGAGGGCATGGCCGCCGCTCAGGCGTCCTTCGAGCCAAGGCCGACGGACGTCTTCCTCGCCAGCTGCCCCAAGTCCGGCACCACCTGGCTCAAGGCGCTCGCCTTCGCGACGCTCAACCGCGCCACGCACTCGCCGTCCGACTCCGACCACCCGCTCCGCCATCACAACCCGCACGACTGCGTCCGCTTCCTCGAGACCAGGCCCGTACCAGAGGCCATGGCGCTCCCTTCTCCCCGGCTGCTTGCAACCCACTTGCCCTGCTCCCTGCTGCCCAGCCGCATAACGGAATGCGGCCGAGTCGTCTACGTCTGCCGGGAGCCCAAGGACGCTATGGTCTCCTTCTGGGTCTACAGCAACAAGATCGCGGCGGTGCTGCGCCGGCGGCTCGGCCTGGAGGCTCCCTTGCCCACGTTCGGGGAGGCGTTCGAGCTCTTCTGCAAGGGGCAGAGCAGCTCCGGACCAAACTGGCGCCACGCCCTCGAGTACTGGGAGGAGAGCCGGAGGAGGCCCGGTAAGGTGCTCTTCCTCAAGTACGAGGAGATGCTGCAAGACCCAATCGGCAACGTGAAGAATCTCGCGGCGTTCATGGGGTGCCCATTTTCTTGCGCGGAGGAGGAGGCTGGGGTGGTGCGGGAGATCGTGCAGCTCTGTAGCTTTGAGAAACTCAAGAACTCGGAGGTGAACAAGAATGGCAACAGCGCCATGATGGGCGTCAAGAACGACGTATACTTTGGGAAGGGAGCCGTCGGCGACTGGAAAAACTACATGACGCCGGAGATGGCGGCGCGGCTGGACAAGATCGTCGAGGAGGCGCTTCAAGGTTCAGGCCTGACCTTTGGCATCTCCATGTAGAAGGGAAGGCCACTCGTGCAGAGGGATGGGGAGCGAATTGTTGCTATGAAGCATGAATTTTCGTGTTTGACAATTCCAAAGAAAATAAGGTCTTATGAATTATGATTGAGGAAACTCACAAATGATATATTATATATTTTTACGAATCATAAGTGATATGCTTTAAGGTCATTAGTTTTCCACCATATGAAAGTGACATGTATGAAAATAATAAATTTACTTGCTTAATCTAGTGACGAACTGGAAGTTGTTGGTTGTACGAGTCGAAAAAAAATCGTATGGCACCCCTCCAGTTTTTTATTTTCCAGATTTGATGATTCTCATCTAGGTGAAATTTAGCTATGTCTCGTCTAAGTTTCCACCACACAAACTAATTTGCTAAAATTTCCATGCTAGCGCTTGATCCCGCATAGCTGGTCTGTGTCGGGAGTTGCTATGTCCCCTGGTTGGCCCGTTTCGCATCGCACATCTACTATCGGCCCCTTCCGTATTGTGCATGTGTTATCGGCCCATTTCCGCGAAGCGTGCTAGGGGCCATTTTTCTCGTATGTTGTATTTCTGGTCTGCATTTTAGAAGCAAGAGTCGAGCCATAAAGGAGGGTTGTTGTCGCTGCTCGCTTTCCCTTCTAAAGGCATGGCCAATGGTCCAGCTTGGATAGCTGCCCCATGGTTCCACATCAGATGCATGCTGCCGTGGAGGAGATTGGTGAAAAAGACTATGCCTTGCAGAGTGTTGGTGGAGCCTGTAGAGGAGCTAGCCTCTTCAGCCAAAAAGTGTGGTCCTCCAAGATAGAAACGTACTCCTTTCGTCCGGGTTTATTAGGCCTGAAGACAACTTCTCTTAGACCAAGACACAGTAATTCACTCACATTAATTCTTCCATTCCACTCCCAATGCACTCTCTCACATGCATGTAGCCAATGAAAAAGCACGCATGAAGTGTATTAATTTTTCTATCATGGCACCAACAACAATGGCCTTCAATACAACCAATGAAATGGTTGCATGCATGTACCTTTCCAAAGCGGAGCCTTATAAAAGGGGACATGCTTGTGATGCTGAGAAGCCTAATAAACCCGGACAGAGGGAGTAAGAGAGAGTGTGCTCTATGCGAAAACACCTAGCTACAAGCAAGTAAAGTTGGTGAAGATGGAGTAATTGTAGGACCCAATAAAATGTGTGAAATAACCTAACCATGCGTTGGATGATTTTTGCAATGCATGTAGCTCTAGAATTTTTTATCTAGTTAAACTCACGGGACAGTAGCATGGTAGTGACTCCATTTTACATGCCCTAACTCCCATTCGATACTCTCCATTTCCTCACTCGTGATTCCCCTTTGTCTTCCAGTAGAGGGTGATGCGAGCATAGCTTGACCTCTTTTTTTTTGTTATAGT